TACATAGGGTCATTATGAGTCAGAACCAACTTGACAACAAATTCTGGAGCATAATGTTATTACTATGCATTAACAACATAGTCTCCCTCATCTTGAAAGCTTGAGATCGCTGTAATTCTAGTAGAGAGACTAGAATTTCTTTTACTTCCCTTCTGAATGTAATCCAAGCTGATTTTAATGAGCCAGCAGTTCTGTGGAGAGAAATATAAAATGATACCTTCAATTTAAGGGCAAGATGATATAGAAAGACATTTTTCTATATGCATTGCAAACTGTTATAGAATGAATACCTACATGAAGATATTGATGCCAGAGTTATTGAATATGAAGATAATCGACCCCTCTTAGATATGTTCCTACAGAAGCCAGTGGGTTTACTGTCTCTACTTGATGAAGAAAGCCGATTTCCCAAAGCTACTGACCAGACCCTTGTAGGTAAGTTTAAATCAACATGTCTGCATAATTTTATGAATAAGTTAATTCCAGATGATATTTATTTTGTTTTGTTTTAGTTTTTGCTTTTATTATTTTTTCATTGCCTTCTCCATCACCCAAATTAAAATGTGTCTTGGAAACCCCATACAGTGTCGCTATGGGTCGGAACCAACTCGACGGCACTTAACAACAACCCTCTAGCCAGTGAATTACCTCTCCCTTCCTCCCACCCCTGGTAACCATTAAAGAATGTTTCTCTTAGCATAAAATCTTTTCTTGACTTAAATTATCTAGACTGTATGTCTTGGGTGGCACAACTCGTTAATGTGCTTAGGAAACCAAAACATTGGAGGTTAGAATTCACCCAGAGACTCCTTGGAAGACAGACCACTGAAACAAAGCTATTGAAAACTCTGTGGAATGCAGTTCTACGCAGTCACACATGGTGTCTTCATGAGCTGGACTGACTCACCAGCAAGTGTTTTTAGTTTTAGGAGAAAATTGTTGTTAAGTGCAGTCAAGTCGGTTCCGACCCATAGTATCCCTGAGCAGGGGAAAATAGCTATCACAAAACCTGTGTATAATTTTACAAAAGAGGTTTAGTCTCTAATACCTGGACCAATGGATGTTTATAATAATTTGAAATATTTAGGGATGCTCCTCAGAATCTCTATTAAGGTCACTATGAGTCAGAACTGATCAACGGCACTTAACAACAACAAACAAGTTTAAGGACCCTTGGTGGCACAGTGGTTAAAGCATTCTGCTTCTAACTGAGAGAAAAGTGGTTAGAACTCATCAGTGGCTCTGAGGGAGAAAGATGTGGCAGGGTGCTTCTATAAAGATTATAATCTTAGAAACCCAATGAGGCAATTCTGTTTTGTCCTATAGGGTTTCTATGAGTTGGAAACAGCTCATTGGGAATGGGTTTGTTTTGTTGTCAAAAATGAACACTGGAATTCTCCTTACTTTATGATGCAGTCCTACCTAACTGTAGAATCTTAGGTTCAAAATGACCTTAAAAATTGTTGGTATTGTCCAGTCAATGCCAACTCATAGAGACCCTGTCATCTTTCTTTCTCTGAGCAGCTAGTGGGCACAAACCACTGACCTTGTAGTTTGCAGTCCTGTGCTTATCCTACAGAGCCACCATGCTAACTTACTTTATGATGGAGTCCTAGCTATAGAATCTTAGGTTATAAATGACCTTACAGATTATTCAGCCCTAACTTAGAAACTGGAAGTCCAGGTGTGGCACTGTGGGTTAATGCACTGCACTGCAAAGGTGGTTTGTACTGCTAGGTCAGCTCCTCGGACACCCTATACAAGGTCACTATGAGTTGGATCTGACTCAAAAGCACTTAACAACAACAACCACAAATTAGATATTGGCGGGCAGAGCAGAGAGACAGCTCTAGAATTTGAAAAGAAATAGCTAAAGGGGAAGAAAACAAATTAATCTGTGATAGTTTAGTCTTTTATCTGATAGAAGCAAGTAGCCTCAAATATAGTAATAAGCTCAGTGTTACAGTATGTTAATAAAAGTTCATGATAATAATCCTGAGTCATCAAAGAAAAATTAAATTTAGTCATTGCTTTGTTTGAGAAGGCAGAGAGGTGAATAATATACTTAAGAAGATTTTCATCCAACATACATGGTTACAACAACAATGTCCTACTCTTTAAATGAAAAAAAAAAAACAAAAAAAACCTTCAGCATTTTCATGTTTCTGAAAAAAAGTTTTAAAATCACCCGTACTATGTTCCCTGATGATAAGTGATATGGATTGTGGATAAGTTGTTGTTGTCATTGTTGTTATGTGCCATTGAATTGTTTCCAACTCACAGCAACCCTGTATAGGGTTTCTGGGGAATGACTGGTGGGTTTGAACTAATGACTTTATAGTTATCAGTCCAATACTTATCTTACAATGCCACACCAGGACTCCATATAATAAGTACTTGCATTTTGGTGATATACTTGCCTGTTTCTTGCCATTAGGTGTGTGACATTGCTTCCTTCTGATCCACTGATTGGCATATTCTTTTCTCTATTTAAACAATACTAGACAGAGTTTTGGTAGCATAGTGGTTACAAATCGGGCTGCAAACCACAAGGTCAGCAGTTCGAAACTACCAGCTGCTCCGCAGGAGAAAGATGAGGCTTTCTGCTCCCGTAAAGCTTTATAGCCTTGGAAACCCTGTACAGGGTCGGTATGAGTCGGAACCAACTCCACGGCACATAACCACCACCACCAGACAGTGTCCTGGTATGGCACTGTAGGATAAGCACGGGACTGATAACCACAAGATCAGCAGTTCAAACCTACTTGCTGCTCTTCAGAAACCCTATACAGGGTCATTTAGTCAGAACCAACAACACTTAACAACAGACTAAGAAGAAAATAACAGAACCCTAAGCTTGTGGGAGAAATAATTTCATGGCAGTTACTTAATTTTAATGTCTAACATTAAAATTCTCCGACACTGGCGGAATTATTCTGGAAATGGAACTGCCATTAGGACACTACATCTTTCTTATGGCAATTCTACTCTGACACACGTGGTTCACTATGAATCAAAATGAGCTCAAAGGCTTTTGGGTTGGTCCTTCTTATGTAATCAACAATGACCTGTAGCTTCTCAAACAGAAACAAGAGTCAAAACACCACATTTCTAGGCTCATGGCATGGCCTCAAGCTGTTTTACAAACTCTTTGATTGGCCACTCTCAAGTAGTTGTCTTCCTCTGTACCAGTGATTCTCAAACTGTTCTCTAAAGACCAGGAACATCAGCATCACCTAGAACTGGTCAGAAATGTCAATTCTAGAGTCTGACTCCAGACCTCCTGAGTCAGAAGCTGGGGACCAAGCCCTGCATTCTGTGTTTTAATAAGCTAGATGCAGGCTCAAATTTAAGGATCACTGTTTTAAATCATGGCGGAGTGGCAAAAATGCATAACCTTGAGTGTTGCTTTACCATTTAGTTATATTCCAATGCTTATAATGTTCTATCTTTGTTCCAATACATAAAATGTATATTCCAATACATAAAATGTTCTATCTTTGTTCTTTTTAATGGTGATAGAGATGATTTTTATTTCTACAGAAAAATTTGAAACCAACCTGAAATCACAATACTTCTGGAGGCCCAAAAGAATGGAACTTAGTTTTGGAATTCACCACTATGCGGGAAAGGTGGGGAACTCTATAGAATTTTTACTGTTTCTCTTTAGTTTTTGTCTAATAATAAAGATATTAAAATCCTGGGCCAAAATACTTCCATAGAGTTATAACTACATTGCCATATATTTTTACCCACATCTAGCTCTAACTTTTTCCTCCAACTTCCACAATCTATTCCTAGCCTTTGAATACAGCCACCACTGTAGGTCCTTAGGGGCATTTCTAGCATCTATTCTGAAATTATATCTATACATTATTCTTTTAGTACTTCAATAACACAAGGTTATAGTGTATGTGATAGAATTTTTATTAAAAATTGTAAAGAAAATAAGAAAAAGATGGGCCTTAAAGAGTCCATCTTTCTGATCCTAAGATATAATTGTGGTGAGATTAGCTGAATAGTACCTTTATGACACCTGAGTCAGCTACTAACTGGAAAGTTGGGGATTCAGATCCACTCAGAGGCACCATGGAAGAAGAGCCTGGTGATCTATTTATGAAGAATCAGCCATTGAAACCCCTGTGGAACACAGTTTGGCTGTGACATACATGGGTCACCCTGAGTCAGAATTGACTTGACAGTAAACGGTTTGGTTGTTGTTTTTGTTTAATGATAACTGGGGAGTCCTGGTGTAGCACTGTGGGTTAATGCTCTGGGCTGCAAAGTTGGTTTGAACCACAAGATTGGCAGTTCAAGCTCACCACCTGCTCCTCGGAAATCCTATACAGGGTTGCTTTGTGTCAGAACTGACTCGATGGCATTTAACAACAATGATAACTGGAGACCTTTTATATAAACTGCCTTTAAAAGTAAACAAACAAAAACTCAAAGCACTGCCCTTGAGTTGATCCCAAGTCCTATTAGACCTTAAGTATTGCTCTCTCCACTACAACCTTTGTCCTTCCCAGTACCCAGCAGAAGAAAGTGCCAGGCTGGAGCTTGGTCAGATACTGACCCAAATCAATGGAACTGAATAATACTAATGTGGTGCTGTAGAATAAGCACTGGACTTCTAATCACAAGGCTGAGGATTCAAACCAACCAACTGCTTCTTCTT